ATCAATATCATTTAATTTAATCATCTAGAAGTCAATAAACTAAACTCAGAACTTTGTTTCAATATGTCCTTTGATTATTATCATTAACTTTATTCATATTATCATTATTGTCAATGTTACCTCTCAGAACCTGGGAGAAGCTGGTCCCTGGTTCCAGAAAGCAGAATTTGTGAGTCAATCAGATGTTTTAACTGGTTTGATTCCTGATGCAAAGATCAGTCTAAGTCCTTAAGTTACTGTGGTCTGAGGAGGACTTCAGGGACCCTGAGACCTGGTTTATCAGGCCAATAGCTCTTGGTAGAGTCTCTCAAACCAAAGTGGTCTCAGGGGGTCCAGACCAAGAGATATTCACTGACCCTTTATGAATCATCAGAAAAGAGAACCAGAGAAGTGAAACCAAGACCACCTTCTGAAGCCAGACCTGGGAGGGGAGCTCACAAGCGAGCGTCTGGTGGCCGGGCCTTGACACATGGGGATCGGCCAGGCACCGCCTACATGAAGTCACCGCCCTGTGGGGCCCGACACTCGCAGGCATAGGGGTCGAGTGCAAAGTGGGCCGGACTGCAGGGACCTTTAGGTGTACTTTTTTTTTTCCTCTCTCTTTCTTTTTCTTCTTCTCTTTCTTTTTTTTTTTTTTCTTCTTCTCTTCTATAGGTGTACCGACCTCCGGCATCACAGACTAGCTCTGTGGAACGGCACCTCTCTGGCAGTGGAAGGAATTGGAGCTGATGAGGGAGGTGGAGCTTCTGGAACCAAACTCCTAGAGGGGGTGGACTCGAGCCTTTTCCAGAGATGCCCAGGATAAGCGACACCAGGCAGTGTGAGGATCCTCACGAGCCCCCGGTTGAGCAACCGCTGTGGTGGAGTTTACCCCGAGGAACAAGAGGGTCGTCTCTATGAGACCGAGATATTTTTAGAGTAAGTCTCTGAAGGTTGTTTGTGCTCAGAGTACCGAGCTTGCTTGGAGTCTCCTGGAGGGAGGTGATTGGGAGGAACCTGATCTGACCCCAAGTGGTTCTTTGTTGTTGGACTTCTGTGCTACTCATGGATTGATCACAACAAACACCATGTTGGAGCATTGAGCCGTTCATAAGTGGACTTGGTACCAGAACACACAAGGCCAAAGATCTATGATCGACTTTGACGTCGTATCATGAGATCTTTGGCAAAGAACCTTCTGATGGAGGAGGCTGTCACGCTGAAGGAGGCCTTTCAGGATTGGTTGTCCCTGGGTATGCAGATGGGTATTAGTTTGCCAGAAGAGCTGCAGCTACACACCTCTTCAGTGTCTCATGGAGGTCAGGTCCTGTGGAGTGGTGGACCGGGGTGGTGGTTACCGTTTTTAAAAAGGGGGATCAGAGAGTGCGTTGAATTATCAGGGTATCACACTGATCAGCCTCCCCAGGAAAGTTTATGCTAAGGTTCTGGAAAGGAGGCTTCGACTGATTGTTGAACCTCAGATCCAGGAGGAGCAATGTGGATTGTGTCCTGGTCCTGGAACAGTGGACCAGGTCTGTTGGAGGGGTCATGGGAATTTGCTCATCCAGTCTATATGATTGTGGACTTGGAGAAGAACTAGGACCGGGTCTTTACTACGATCCATCAGGTCCTTGTTGAACCAAAGTTAGAGCTGAGTCCGGATACTCTGCATGTTTCCAGGGTCGTCTCTCGTCTCTGATTGTTTGTGATTTCCAGCCGGGGTGGAGGAGAGAGTCCGGTTTGAGGAACTCAGAGTTTGGTCTCTGCTGTTTGTAGATGTGGTGGTTCTGTTGGCTCCTCTAGAATGTGGTCTCCAGCAGCACCGGGTGGTTTGTAGTCTGAAGCCTCCAAGTCTGAGTTCATGGTTCTCTGGCCACGGGGACCTCGATGGAAAACGTCATGAGGTCAAGGAAAGATGTGAAGGAAAGGTCATGAGGAGTTAGGAAGACAACCGTGGTGTTCAGAGAATCCGACTCCACTTTCACTAAACTACGTCGTTGTGATGTCTGCCAATGAAACTACAACGAAGGACTACAAAAAGTACAACTACAACAGTTTCCTATGCTAAAGGCGGAAAGGAAGCATTGAAGCACCTTTCCTTAAACATCTAGAGGATTCAAAGAGGACTCATGGAGGACTTCTTCTCTTCTCTCAGTGAGGAACCTTCTTAAGAAAAGAGTCACGTGACCCTGAAGTATTTCAGACATAAGAGCTCATCTCCTTAAACATAGGAAACACTGGAGCATCCTTCACCAAAGGAAAGGAGATAATGCCGTCCCACAATTCCTTGCGGTAGCAACATGTAAAGCAACTGTTCAATAACATAGTTGCCGTTTAATTGTACATTAATGAATTGTTCAGCGTTTTGTTTTGTTCTTGTTTTATGTCCTAAGTCCTTGTTACCTTTCCTAAGCTGGAGGACCACAGCAGACCTGGTTTCAGACCTGAAGCTCCAACCTGGTTTTTTGGGGGGTTTTAAACCAGCAACCTGCAGTAAAGTTGAGTCAGTGAGCTGCAAACTTGATTTATTCAGACGGATTATTTACATCTCATTAAAACATCCAATCAGAAGAGTAGAAAGACGGAGGACGGTGCGTTCAGGCGTCAGCAGAGAAAAACAGACATCGAGGATTCAGCTCCAGAGTCAAACATCAGGACAATAAACCTGCACGTCTAAATAATAATCACGATATATTCATTAATAATAAATGAATAATAATTCATACATTATTTAATTAATAAAAAAACTAAAGAAAATTAAATATGTAAGTGATAAATAGTCCTTATGAAAATATCAATTTCAAAATGGAATTAAAACTTAAAAATATAAATAAAAACGCTCAAAATTAAAACTTGATTCACAAGAAAAGTGTTTTTAATTTAAGCTTTTGAGTTTTTCTGTTTTATATTTAAATTTTTTAAGTTTCACTTTATGTTTAAAAAAACATAATTGTAACAGTTTAACATTGCATCACATCCCTCTTTACTCAATGGATCATAAAATATGTTAAAGATGAAACTTCACTTAGTAAAACCTGTGATTTCATGTTTAGTTGAATTTAACGATTCTCTCACACACACACACACACACACACACACACACACACACACACACACACACAGTCTGTCAGCAGGTTAAACATTTGGCACAAAGTGAACTCAGCAGAACCAGTCTGGTCCAGTCTGTGTAAGAACTGGTCTGCCTTCAACATACACCTGGTCACCTGTTCTGGTCCAGGAGTTCAAAACTGATTCTATAAATACAACAAATCCAGACCAGGTTTCTAAAATCCAAAATATGGTACATCAGTGGTTCTGGTGGACTGTGAGACCAGAGCAGGACTAGTATGAAGGCAAATCACTGTCAAAATCCGAGAGCGCAAATGAGATCCATGCGCGTGCGAAAATCAAACAGCCGCGCACGTATTTTACTTTGACGAGCGCTGTTACGTCACTCCGCCAGCAGAATTCACTCTCGCGAAGCTTAAACCCGCTCGCTCGCGAGTAGCTTTTCTTTGTGACAGTAAGTGGGCGGAGCCAGTCTCCATCGTATCTCTACATCTGATTGGTTACAATCCTGGTCTCTGGATAAACCGGATATCACTCTGACGCAGACGCTTGGGGGAGATCTTCAGATTACAGGTCAGGGGCAAATAATGTACATTTCACTGCACGGGTACTTTTACTTTCTGCACTTCAAGTAGATGTTGCTGATAATAACATTGACTGAGGTTTTGAATGCAGGTATTTTACTGGTAGTGGGTTATTGTTTCATCAGTATGTTGTTAGTACGTTTACTGCAGTGAAGGATCTGAATACTTTTTCATCCACTAACTACTTGTCAGTGATTTAAGCAGTGGCGGGCCATGCATTTCATACCTGGGCCTTCACTGTTGTCCTGCAGCTGAAATACCACCTTATAACCACATGATGGTGCCACAGTTATCAGTTTCTAAGGCTGTAACTATGTACGTATTAAATGTACATACCTATGTACATAACGTTCGGTACAAGACTTACAATACATTTGAATAGTACTAGCCCAGGGGTCGGCAACCTGCGGCTCACGAGCCTCTCTGTTGCGGCTCCCTGAGTCTACATCAGGGGTCTGGCGCACCGGATCCGGACCCAGGAACTAAAAACCGATAGATAATTCGGAATTATACATATTGGGCACCGAGTTTATACTTTAACCGGCGCCTCTTATTCAGCCGTTATGGCATTTGTTCGGCGGTGCAGGAAACACACCGACCAATGCAGTGCAAATCACATCACGTGATGCAGCTCAGTCAATCAAATATGGGTATTCTGACAAGTTTCCTGACTCCAGCGAGGTTTACACACACGGGACACATGGGGCTGGGACGAGGAGAGAAAGAAGAGCAGGGAAATTGCGCTGAACGAAGAAGTTATCTCACATGACGTTCTCCAAAAAGAGAAACGTGTTCAGAGAGAATATAATTTATAAGCAAGAATGAACAGAATCTTATATGTTAATTATTCCCACAGGCAGTTAAATCCTCTACCCCTGTCAAGAGCTTTTCCCTGCAGGTGGCTGATCCTGATTTTCAGACCCCCGCCCTCTGTAAACTATCAATGGATAAACCCAAAAAAAGAAAAGTCACGGAGGAAAATAGAGAGTTTAACTCTGCGTGGACGTCTTCATTTGCTTTCACTGCCAACGATGCTGACTTACTGTATGCTTCCAGAACAAGCACACAGCATTTGCTGAAAAGTGTCACGCTAGAGATGATTCCTCAGCTGCTGCAGCAAACTCTCCTCTTCATAAGAGTTTGATATAATTATATCAGGTAAAACTGCAATGAAATGTCAAGAATTGTCTTTATTCTTGTTCTATAATTTCATAAATACAACAAACTATAGTTTTTGTATATATAATATAACTATATATAACACTTTATAAGCTGTGATATCAAATAGCTTTTGCGGCTCCAGACACATTTTATTTGGTGGAAAATAGGACAAAATGTCTCTTTGGATAGAAAAGGTTGCCGACCCCTGGACTAACTACTTGTCAGTGATTTAACAGTTAATATACAAATAGTGGTAACATAATGTGTATTTCATCAGCCTCTAAGGTCTGAAAAGTTTATAAAACCTGTCAAATGTAGAACATGCTGAGATGTAGTGGAGTCGTGTTTAGTGGCCGATTGAGAACCACCTCTATCAGAACTAGCGTCTGTGTCAGAGTGATATCCGGTCTATCCCAGACCAGGATTGTAACCAATCAGATGTAGAGATACGATGGAGACTGGCTCCGCCCACTTACTGTCACAAAGAAAAACTACTCTACTGATTTTCCTTCATAGACTAGAGTTAAACCGTCCTGGTCCCGGTCAGACGTGGAGGCGGGAGTGTCTGAGTTTCCACCTCCTGGACCGGACTTTGAAGAAGAAGAAGAGCAGCATGAGGAAGAGGCAGGAGCAGACGTACAGGACCACACACAGACTCATGTCCACGCTGTTGAAACCCAGACCCAGAATCCAAACACCTCCTCCTGTTCCTCCCGTCCCTCCTCCTCCTGTCCCTCCTCCTCCTGTCCCTCCTCCTCCTAGACCCAGACCCTCCTCCCCCGCACTGAGAGCCTGGTGTCCAGGTCCAGACTCCGGCTGCTTCTCAGATTTCTCCTCGGGCTCCTTCCTCACTCCTCCTCCTCCTCCTCCTCGGTGCTCCTCCTGTGGCTGGCTGGTCGTTAGAGGATCAGGATCTGGAGGAGGTGCGGGTACTCGTGGGGGGGTCATGGAGTACATGGGGGACATGTTGGAGGCCCCGTAGTGTTGTCGGAGGAAGAGGAGGACGTTGTCGTGGTTCCAGACGTGGACGCCATGTTTCTCCTCGTGGCAGGAGGAGCAGAGGGAGGGGCTCGGCCACGGAGCTTTAGGGAAGAGAGGGTCATCACTCAGGGAGCCTATAGGAGGAGGAGGAGGGGGAGGAGCTAAAGTTATTACATCATCATCATACAAACCAAACTCCATTCAGAAAACAAGCATTTTAAAAGCTGTCCAGAGCCTTCAGGATCTCAGGCTGAACCTGATCCAGAGCCTTCAGGATCTACAACTCTTTTGTGGCTGATCATAAAGGGTCAGTGAATATCTCTTGATCTGGACCCCCAGAGACCACTTTGCCTTGAGAGACTACCAGGATCTACTGGCCCAGATAAACCAGGTCTCAGGGTCCCTGGACTAAATTCGTCCCTCTGAATGATTCTTCTGAACCAGAGCATGCAGTAGTGGGTTCATGTGGGTTCACGTACCTGCCAGTCTGTAGTTGACCATGTTGTGCTGGTTCCAGAGCCAGAGGATCTGGTCCTCCCGGTTCTGGACTTTCTCCACACTGACAGCAGCCGCTTCTTCAAAGTGTCGACCACATTCCTCACAGCCGAAGAACGTCTTGATGTAGCGACGCATCACCTGGAGGACTGGAGACATCTCACCCTCCAGACCTGAGACAGTCAGGCAAACGTCTCCACAACAGGTGTGTGTGTCTGTCATCAGACTGACAGAAGTTCTTAAGACTCAGACAGGATGTGATGACTCATCACAGTGACATCATCATCATTTCATGTTTCCTTGTGTTTGATTGGTCACAACATGACGTCTTGAAGTTCAACAAATTTATTAAAATGAATGAGAGGGATTTATTCTTTCATTATAGCTATGTGTATACATACATACATACATACATACATACATACATATATACATATATACATACATATATACATACACATACATATACATACATACATATATACATATACACATACATATATACATATACATATACACATACATATATACATATACATATACACATACATATATACATATACATACATATATATATACATATACATACATATACATATATACATATACATACATATA